CTTTTCCAATATCTGTTGCTATTGAATGTGGACAGCAGATCAAATGATGAAACATGTGGAAATACTCTAAAGCTGCTACAGGACAGAAAAACAGGGAAAGCAGGCTGGGATGGGGAGAGGCGGTGGTGATGGTGGGAAGCACACAGGCTCTGTTTGAGGTGCTTGTCTGTTCCGGCATGCCTTTGGCCAGATTTCAAACTTTCTGCTCTATCAGATGACCTCTTAATCCTTCCAGAACTCACTGTGAAGATGCTTTCTCCATAGAGTTTTACTTATCCCTTTGCTCAAGCCCAACATGACAGTGATTTCTCTATAAACGCCCAGCAACATAATGTGTTCCTTAATTGGCACATTGCATGTGCGCAGTTATTTATTTATATACTTGTGCCCTGCTAAGAACAGAAGTCACTTTGTATTCCGCCCTCTTTTCTTGGCACATAGTTTCAGGCATTTGATTCATGTGTTTTGAAAGGTTTAATTTTTTTTTTTTTTTTTTTTGGTCAGATGGTTGAGAACTGTGTCTGTCTAACTTGAGGTCCCTCAAGCATCTAGGTACTCCGGGATTGAACCAAAGTATAGCCCCCAAAAACTACCTTACATTTTTCACCTGATATAGTTCATTCATTGGTGCCATCCTTACGCTACTCCTTAACCGCGCCCTTAAATTGGACCAGAAGGAAAAATAATCCATGAGGCATTTGTCCTAGGATTGGCATGCATAGCAATGATGATGTCAGAAACTAAGGTAAGCTGGTTGAAATGATCCCTGGGTGCTAAGATTTTCTCAATGCTCTCCAAATTATGCTTCATTGTCATCTACATACAGCAGTAAATTTGGGAATAATTTGGCTTTGATACGACGGAGGAATACATTCTTCCATCACTCTGCCTTGTCTGAAGAATCAATCCTGTTGTTTCCCAGAATGGTTTGGGGTGATGGTTTGTGCCTCCAAATGAGCTCTGTTGAAAGATGAAGACAGGGATTGCTTTCTCTATCACTCACTGCCGAGTAAAAGAGATGAGAGATCTGTCATGCACAACCACCTCTCTCAATTTAGTTACACAGGAAAAATCAAATGAATGCATGTTTGACCTATTTAATCTCCCGAATTCTATGCAAGCCTGGTCAAGTAACTGACTATGATGAGCCTTCAGAAATCTATCCCTAATTTTATAGGTCCCCATGTTACATTTACTTAATAAACATTAATATCTGACAACTTTTAATTCATGTAAGTGTGCTCATTGTGATGAGGACTTTGGATGAACTGAGTGTTGCCCTTCTTTGCATCCAGTATCTGCTTTTTAATCAGCCACACACTGACAGTCTTTCAAGACATGCTCTGTTCAGGGCTGCAGTATTTTTATTATTGCTGGTACATGATAAATAGTAAAGATGCACCCCCCTACTAGAAAAACAGATTTATTAATAAATAGTGAACACTTTGTACTTTTGCAGAATGCCAAAGCAATTAGTGACAACAGTAGAATGATTTTCAATACCTACAAAGCTAAATATCATATTGATTCAAGCACAAAGCTTTCTCTAAATAACAGCCAATGAATTGTCTACTGTATTTGGTCAATTCTTTTAAATAACAGGTAGAAAAAAAAGAAAATACACCAGCAAAACTGCTTTGAATGTCTTTCCCTTTGGATTGGATCCATGAGCCAATTTGTCAATAAGGAATAACTGGCAGACTAACAAGTAAAACAATATTTTAATCTAGTGTTTTTAAATTTATCATCTCTAGATTTCATGTAAAATTGAGATAATCACTTGATTTAAAAACAGAGGGCTCACTGGGAAACAATGGAGCATTTAAATCATGAAATGTTAGAATCACAAAGTCATAGGGCTATGAACCAAAAGAAATTTAAAAATGGGTTAGCCTACTTCCTTCCTTTGGGAATGCTGTAACAGACCTACTGAGGACCTCTCCTAAGTCATGTACTATTTCAGAAGACACTTTGAAGTCAGTGAAAAGAACTGGTTGTCCAGCAAATAAGAATTTGTGGTCTCTCAGTATTTCTGCACTCCCCAGCTCTCACCATGTTCACTGCTGGGAGTGTAACTTCATTCATTCATTCTCCTACTATATTTTGAGCACTGTTAAAGGCATCAGAGGCAGTGAAGAACACACACAGAAAACACTCCTACCTGCATGCATCTTACTCTATACTTGAAAGACATCATAAAGAATTAAATGCTATTTTAAAAGATTTAGTTATTTATTTGAAGGTCAAAACAGGAAAGGGAGAGAGAGAGAATGAATGAATGAATGAATGAGAAATCTCCAATTCACAATTCTGGTTCACTCCCCAGATCATAGCAATGTAGGCTAAATTCTTGTCTCCCACACGAGTAGCAGGGGCCTGAGTACTTCAGCCACCTTCTGCTGTCATCCCAGGTACATCAGTAGGAAACTGGATTGAAAATCAAGAACTCAAACCAGCACTCCAATATGGGATACCAGTATCACGATTGGTGATTTAACTCTCTGTATCACAATAAATTATATTTAAAGTGATAAATGCTATGTAGAAATGTAAGAGGAATAGGGTATACAGAGGAATGGCAAAATGGACTGATAGGTTTTGAATATGATGGTTAAGGGAAACCTCACTGATGAAATAATGAATGAGCAGGAAACTGGTGGGTGAGAAGAGGGAGTTATACAGCTCTCCAAAAGAAGAGCGCGCTGGATAGCGACTCAAGGCGGGACACTTACTCTCCTCGCACTTGTGCCTAGTTTTATTCCTCTCACTTACTTCATCATATTGTCTTCTTATATCACTTTCAGCTTCTGCACAGAAGCAACCTTTCATGTTTCCGTTGGGAACTAAGCCCCACAAACCAGCGCCTGTTTGCACCATGGCCCCCACGCCTTTGATCTGTGCCCCTTTCATGTCACTGCCCCCATTTCTACTCCAGCTCCTCTACTTGGTTAAGTTCATCTCAGGACACCTCGCGGCTCCCAGGTATGGAGGAGTCAGACTATTCTCTCCCGTCACATTCAACACCTGACGCTTATTTGACCCAATTTCTTCTCTGGAATTTAGTTCCATCTTAAGCCTAATCTTCCCTGCAGAGAACAATGAGGAAAAAAGGCTGTATGGACACAGGTTGCAAAGCAAGTCTGTGCATTGAACAGAATCACAAACAAAATATGCCTCTGTATTTTGCCAGTGATAACATACTGACTCTGTGCCAGGATTTCACCCTAGATGTTGGGTATACTGAGAAGCTTCTGTCGTCACTGATTTCACAAGAGTGTCCTTTGTAATAAGCTCAGCCGTCATTCAGGGGGATGGCACTGGAGGGACTGCCCACCATCCAGTGAGAGAGCCATTGAGGGAGAAAGGGGAGAGACAGACAGACAACAGACAGACATGTGGGGTGGGGGTAGGAGGCAGAGAATAAGAATGTGGCCAGAAGTGTGTTTGGTGCTACAAGGCAAGAAAGAACGGAAGATGTGTGATTTCTCCCAAGGAGTGGCTGCTTTGTTAGTATGACTCCATCTAATTGTGCTCCTGGAAAATGGTACAGCAATACAGCATGGAAACCATAGACCAAACCACAAAATAAAACCAACCCACGGACTCTTGCGCTCCTGCGGCTCCTCAGCATGACACTCACCCACCCAAAGGTAAATCATAAACACGCAAAGGAATCAGCAACATTAAGGCTTATACAGAATCAGATATCCTACTGGTGATGCTATTTTTCATTATCAACAGCAAAAATAAATTTTCTATGAATTCTATTTGTGGAAATATCAGGATGTATCCCTCTTTATCAATACCAAGTCCCATAATCTGCCCTAAGATGTAGCAATATCCATGAACTGGTTTTCATTTCTGCTAATAATCCTCATCAATTTGCTTATATTTGTGCTTTTTTTTTTTAAGACAACTTTTGGTAGATTAAAAAAAATCTTTTGGTAAAAGTTGCGGAAAACATCTAGTGAGTAAATTTTGGCTGCTTTTGGTTAAAAAAATTGTTCTTAAAATCCTTTGCTTCTGATCAGTTTTACTATCTGAGAATTGTGCTCACCATTTTTAGGAATTTTATACGTGAGGACATTGTCACTGGAGTCCATCTTATTTCTATTTCTTTCCTTCCACTACCCTGCACATTCCTGTTAGTATTCCATGCATGTAAACTGCTTCACTGAGCTTCATTCCTGTTAAGTTTGAAGTAAATATATAGAATAATATATTCAGATATTAGCTTTTCTGGTTGAAAAGCTCTAATGAAAAAGGAATACCTGTGCCAAAGCAGGAATATTAAAGTCAGAAATGGAGGAGCAGCTCTGCCTAGATGGTGAGCCCAATTTTGCTCAGAAAGATAGGATTCAAATAGGTACAGTTTTCTAGAGTCATCATTTATTTGCAGGCTAACTAGCAAATGTATTATTTATTTATCCTCGTGTCAAATTATTCTCTCTGATGTGATTTTGAACATCTTGGGCAACATTAAGTCTGAATTCTTATCTGCTAAAACCCAGGGTTCTATGTGCACAGCCATCATTAGCTTGTCCCTAAAGCAGACACTGTAAAGTAGGATCATCAGGGGACCACATTCTTCTAGTGACCACACCATGCAAACCCCAGTGTCTGGCCCTGGATAGCCAGCCAGGTCCTGGGCAGGTGAAGATAACTTCCTTTCAAAAAGCGGAAAAATTCTGAGTCCCTCTACTCATTGTTGTTACAGACAGACAGACAACACTGCTCCCATGAGGAGCCAAGGTGGGCTTCAGACATTTATGTAGGGGAAAGACTTTGTGTTTGCAAATCAGTCAGTGTTTACTAAATGGCTAAGTTGTATCCTCTTTTCTCCCTTTTATGAGCAGTTTTTTTTTTTAAACTTTTATTTAATGCATATAAATTTCCAAAGTACGACTTATGGATTACAATGGCTTTCCCCCCATACCGTCCCTCCCACCCACAACCCTCCCCTTTCCCACTCCCTCTCCCCTTCCATTCACATCAAGATTCATTTTCGATTATCTTAATATACAGAAGATCAGCTTAGTATACATTAAGTATGGATTTCAACAGTTTGCTCCCACACAGAAACATAAAGTGAAAAATAATAGATGATTTTTTAAAATGATGATGAAATCAGAGCAGACCTATTGTCATGTTTAATCCCAGTGAGAGTCAAGTTGGGAATTGATAATTTCTTTTTTTTTTTTTTTTACAGAGGATCAGTTTAGTATGCATTAAGTAAGGATTTCAACAGTTTGCACCCCCATAGAAACACAAAGTGAAATATATTGTTTGAGTACTCGTTATAGCATTAAATCTCAATGTACAGCACATTAAGGATAGAGATCCTACATGAGGAGTAAGTGCACAGTGACTCCTGTTGTTGACTTTACCAATTGACACTCCTGTTATGAGCAGTTTTAAAAATTATTTTCTCTGCCTTTTTGACATGTTTTCCCCACTAGATAGAGTTCAAAATACTAACAAAGCCAAAGCGTGGAGTTCACATTCCAGCCCTGTGACTAGGTCCTTGCATTGCCAAAGAGTAACTGAGAGGCCTGTTTATGTGTTACGAAACCAGCTACCTCTGTTTCAAGGATTCTTATCTGTACCATGAAGTGTGTGTTTTCTCAGCTCTGCAGAGGCAGCCAAGTGTTCTTTGACCTTTGAGAAATGGAGCACAGCTACCAATTTTGCAGGTCATCCATTCTGTAGGGCAATGTGTGTCCACTCTACCTTCCACAGTTTTTGCTATCACCAAACTTTAATCTTGTGGGGCAGGAAAGCATATGATTAACAAAATGGGGAATTCTGATGACTTAAAAGTAAGGATGGAGAAATGTTCTATATGTATTGTAAAAATCTTATATTAATTACATTAACAGATATTGATTTCTCACAGTACCCTGTGCCATGCTTTGTGCTAAACTGCATGTCTAACTTCAGGAAGCTTGAAATCTGTCATGGAAATGTCCAAGTGCAGATGCTGCACAAGTCACCCTACTGTGATTTCAGGTACTTAAACTATCTTCAAGATCTTACTTTTCATCCAGTTCATCATGTTTATTGCTCTTTAGTCTACTCCCATGTCTCAAATTGGACATAGGGTCCTACACATAGCTGACAAAGATAACAGAAAAAATCTGTTATTTAGATTCTATCATTAGGCCAAAAGGCATTTATTAAAAATTAGGTAGGAAATACAGGAAATAAAAGAGGAGCTCTGATACTTTGCCTTCACTCTCAGGGCTCATTAACTGGTTGAGGAAACAAAAGAAACACCCATAGGATATGTGCTAGCTGTTTTGGGATGTACAAGAGAAGAAGACAACAGACTGAAAGTACACCAACTAGAGGTCTTTGGAGTAGAGTTCAGAGCTGGCTTTTCCAGTGAATAGGGTTGCCTTCTTCAAACACACTTAGCCCCAGTTTTCTCATCTATAAAATAGAAAATACTGTATCAGTCTCATCTTCATGATAAGGTTACTGCAAACATAAGATATCACAGATATAAAACATTCTTGTATTTAATAAAGTGCTCTCAGTATTGTTTCAAATTTCAAAATTTATTCTGCGAAGAAAAAAGAACCTACCACCATAATGTATGAGTTGTACAGTCAGAGCACAAATACACACACACACACACAGTAGCATGTTACACATCTAGATATATTGAATACAAGAATGAAATGCATAGGTGAATTTTGTCCAGATTCCTTCCTGGTAGACACACAGATCCAGGTGGGTACTGAAGGAGTGAGGGAAAAGGATTTGCCACCCATCTGGGAATCCATCCCACCTGAACTCTGAGTCCCTGAACCATGGTTACCCATCGTGGTTGCCCAATGCCCTTTCAAAAGAGCTATTTTTCAGCTTCCCTTTGGCTAGAGAGGTCCAAGTCCTCTGGAAGGCATCTCTTTGATGCATCTGAAATGGCTGTTTTGTTAGATAAACAGTGGAAGAAATGAGCCACTGCAGTGATTTCATAGGGGCAGAGTTACCTCCATTACAGACTGAAGACGTCACTATCAGAGGCGAATTCATTATAACTCTATTCACTTAGAAACAAAATGTCATTTCTCATGACCGACCCAATAAATGAAGGGTAATTACTGAAAGTACATAAATGATAGAACCAAAAAGTGTCTCCTGATCATGCTCATGCAAGAAGCAATTTCACATATTTAAATAACTGAGAACTGGGTAAAACACCTCAACACAGACCAACCACTTTGGACACAGAGTTGACATTAAAGAACTTGTTAAATAATCAGTCTTTTGAGAGATCGTAGGCTTTTTGACAGCTGCTAAAATTCTAATGTGAATTTCACTGTCCCTTAGGAAGTATTTAAGTTATATTGAAATTTATCTGAAGAGCCAGAAATCTGGAAGATATAACTGAAAAAGCCTACAGTGGCCCTTTGTCTTTTCAACCAAGAGCTTTGACCCTTTTCAACTTCACCAATGACTTCCCATCATTCCTTCTTTTCAAGAGTCTCAATCCTCAACGGTACAAAGATAATAAATAGTCCTCTGATTGCTTGTAATGAAACATTTATACAATTCTCCCTATGACAGTCAAGTCAAGTCAAGTATAGGATTCAATGCTTACCCAGGAACCACCAAGTCAGTCCTTTATGGCTTTCTGCTTTGGACGATTGAATGCTCAATTTTTAAGCATTGTTCTTATTAGGAAAAATTATTCTGTCAAGCACTTCTCCCTGAGAAAAATATGTATAAATGACTTCTTATTCTTGAAATGATGTTGCATACTTTTCTAAAACTGTATATATCACTCAATGATATATGATTAGAAATTACAAGTCCCATTTTCCAAAGGTGTTTCTTCATTTGCATCAGCAAAAAAAGAAAAAAAAAGAAAAGAGTACTCATAATTGTCCATGCAAATCAAGGACTTTCATATGCAAATGCTTATGTGTGGATATAATTATTCCACTCGACTACATGGATTGAGGTTTTAATCTGTGATACAAATAAGTGTGTAAATACGCATTTGTATTTTTAGTTCCACTTGAAAAAAATATTGCCCATATGTATAACTATTAATAGGAACAGAAATGAAAGAACCAGTAAGGGTCACCTGCTGTATTCTAAGATAATATTATTTTCACCAGCCAACACATTGCTAACACGCCGGCTTCCACTTCTCACCCCCATTCCCTGTTGCAGAATTTTGATCATGGGGCCAGACTTCATCAATTATGAGAGACTCACTCTTTGCATTTTAGTTCCCACTAAGTCTATTCATCCTCCAGCCTTCCAGACATGCTTGATCTCTTATTATTTTTTGACTCAGTACCTAGTACGTGACTCAACCTCACATAAATCAAGCTGTGCAACTTATGCTAGGGAAGCGGTGTCACTAGCCCTGCCTAAGAGAAGTTCAGTTTTAGACTAGCTGCAATGCTTGTTATTTAAATGTTTACACATACTGTCTCATCTGTCATATACTTTCTGAGAAATCAGTTACCCCAGGGAGAATAATTTTTAAGGAGGTGAGCTTTTGTTCTAGAAATCCAGCCACTCAGCCAACATAAAACTCAACACTTGTATACCACAATGAGCTAACAACTCACTTTTGGGAACCTTTTTCTCTACACGATGAAGCAGTACAAAAAGACAGATCTATTTACTGGAGAAGATGCTGGTGCTAATTGACAAGGTGGCTCATTTTCGTCTGACCCAGAGAGAATATTTTACTGGATGGATAAATTATGCAGTGTTGTCAAACCATGAGCATTTCTCCTACCTTCCCTGATCTCCCAATGGACAGTGAAAACTAATGACTGGAATAGATTTGCCTCCTTTGACGACAGATCACATCCTATTTTTACAAAATTTAAAAAAGAGAAAGATTTACAAGTAGCAGCCAGTGATTCTCCTATTAGGAAACTTGATGATATAAGCTGTGACAATTTTGTCAATCTGAAAGTGTAACTCTTGGTCTGAATAATTATATTTGTCTAGCTTTCAGGGGCAAGAAGAATCTGAGATGGTATGACCTAGATGAAAGATAGTGAAATTTCTAGAACAACTTAAGTGGTTTAACGCGGGCAGCAAGAGAGAATACTGAAATACTAAGCATCATTAGAACAAGCCACTGAAGGAATGAAGAAAATGGCTGATTCTGCTGAGAAAGCTAGGAATACTAAAAGATTTAGGAGTCTCTCAGAACTATTTGAGAGAAGTGGGAAGAAGGATTGGTGAGTGTACAATTGTTTGTGTCATTGTTATTGAAATACTATTTCAATCTTTATATTGGTGTCACTTAGCTTAGAGCATGTGAATTTTAATAATAACAATATCGCCAACTTACACTCAATCAGTACAATTAAACCTTCCGAGGCACTTTCATGGGTAAAGCAACATTATTAATTTTGCTAAAATCTAAAATGATCATTGGACATTCAAACCCGGTCCTACTTCAATCAAATTTAACCCTGGGCAACAGGAAAAAGAATTGCAATTGCTTATTGCTGAAAGAGCCACAGGAGTTCATGAAACTCAGTAAATAAAAAAGTTCATTAAAAATATTGGAAAACAAAAAAAATTTAAAATTTTATTGGATACACACTTTCATTGTTCTATCTTATCCCCCTGCAGCAACAACACAGGTCCATTATCTCATAAATCTAAGCTGGAAGCCACAAGGCCATGCATGGATGATAAGGGGAGGTTTAGAATAAAATAAAGATCAGACGGTAAACGAAATATGTTGTTCAGGGGGGCACACTGTATATACATTGTATACATGCAAACACAGTGTTAAACCAGATTTCACTCTGCTTAGAAATGTGCATTTTTCATCACAGTGAGCAACCTGTGTATTAGGGTATTTTGCAGGTGACACAGACAAAATGGGAGGTGAATTCTAGGCTACCCGATAGTGTGATGTGTTGGCTCTCCATGGAGTTAGGGAAAACCACCAGCTGCACTTTACTCATTTAAGACAGGGGAATAATATAATTTTAAAAACAGAGCAAAGTCTAATCCCCAGTACCTGACAATAGATTACCCCCTTCTTTTTAAAGAAGATATGGAGATATAATTCACCATCCATTCTTGTGATTTAAATAGATGCATTCAGATAACTTCTTAGGATTGTTCTTAATGGAACTGTATGGAAATCAGTCAAAAACATCAAAAAATCCAATATTAATCCCTCATCTGACACGCTAAAAGGGAGTTTGATCTTACAAACTGCCAACAAGCCCCCAGCCTGGCATTGTGCTATCCCTCTGATTTCCATCATAGACAATTTTATCTCTGAGAAGAGCCTGAAGTATAATCACATTGTAATACAACAGGGGCTGTTTGTACTTATAAGCCAACACTTCTCTTAGGGAAAAATCTCTCTTGGTCTTATACCCTACTGGGACTGGCAGGCCCACCAGCTCCTGCCACTCAGCACAAATACATCTCAGCATCAACCAGTTAATAGATACTGACACATGAAGTGCTTTGCCTTAATAGATCTGTATTTATATCTAGCTTGTTTCAAGTTCAATTTGTAAGGGAGCCTTATCTTGGTTGCTATCAAATATGCTACTTACCCTGCCATTTCCACCTGACAGCACCTGATGGTACAGATCTTATTGCAATAAAACCCACAGCTGCCTTCCCCACTTGCACATGCCTTCTGGGCTATTGCATTATCAAGTCTAAACTCACACTGCTTCTCATGCCCTTCCTCTCCTCCCCAGTCAACCTATTTATCAACAATGCCCTACTCAAAGGTCACCTCCTTTACCTTGCCTTTTTTGATCTTGAGATTCAATGTGCAAATTGATCCAATGCGCCTTTGGCACACTGCCTTTAAACCCATCAAAAAACTTGAGTATATCTCAAACATAGCACCCATGATATTTTTGCCTTTATTTATTAATAACCTTGTCTCTCCCCTAATTATGCTTTAAATGCTTTGAGAACAGGAATTTGGCTGAGTCCATGTTTACAACCCTAGCATCTAGCATATAGTAAGTGCTCAAGGCATGCATGTTTAGGGAATAATTGCCCTAAATATGTAGTTTTACTGCAGGGTATCACTGATGAAAACATGAAGAATCTTTGCAAAAACAGGATGTTTTTTCTTATATCAGAATTTAGGGTTGTTAAAAAAATCTTAGACTGAAATCCGATCACAACATAGCAATTCTGCACATTTTCTATTTGCATTTTTGGTTCGGCCATCATTTCATGTTTGCTTTCAATGTTTTTCAGGAGCATTAAAAGTTTCTGAATAACACAGTCATCTTAGCAAGGCAAGAAGGTAAGCTCCAGCACCATAGAATTAGTTCGGATAACCAGGCTTATACTAAAAGTTACTTATATTAAAAATTGGACCTTCTCAGTCCTTTCACTCCACCAAGGGTTTGACCTTTATTGTGAATCGAGTATGAGTGAGAACATGGTCTTCCTTCCTTCCATCCCTTTTTGTTCTTTCATTCATGTCAGTAATATCTGAGAATATTGCATGTGGCACATGTCTTATACCATGCAAAGCACTACAGAGTAAAGACCATTAAACCATCCCTTTTCTAAAGGAGTTGTCTAAAAAAGGGAATTCACACAAAAATGTGATGTGCAATAATAGGTAGTGATTAGATTAACACATGAACTGAGGAACAAGGAATTGTCAGGGGAGTGTTCCATATATAATCCCCTACAGTTTTTATAGTGCCTTCTGGGTGAACAGCAGATTCTATCATCTTTGGCTGCTAAACATACTTTTAATTGACTCCAAAAAGATCTATTTTCACTAATATTCTACAGGATCCTTCCAAATGAGGAAATAACATGTTTTCTATATTATTGAATATCACAGCACTTTCTCTGCCTTGTTTGAGTTTATGAGTTTTTCTAGCCCATGTTATTTTACCTTATTGATAAGATACTGTTCTACCATTTGCGTTGATTGTCACAGTCACATTGAATTGTTATGCAGCCAGATACCCTCACCCACTTTGACTTCATTGCCATTGTACAGAACATGCAACTTCTCAGCTAAATGTTTAATGATCAGCCACATATGACTATTTGTTCAATGTTTGACTTAGGAAACCTAGTGATAGGGTCACTATTATCATACAAGTGGCATTCAAAGGTCTAAAAATTGACTTCTGTCTCCTTTCCTCTTGTTCAAAATCTTGGAATCCAGTTCCACCAGTTGGTTATACAAGGCTTAGACTTGAACATGGAGGAACAGCTCCCACATGCACTTTTTCTAGGAAAATAAATGAATGTCATGGCCAATAGAGTTGTGTGTTTGTGTTGATGGGATTAAATGAGGGGGAAAGGTTTTTGGAACCAGATTAAAACCAGACGTTTGATGGGCATGGAAAGAAAACAGAAGCATACCTTATAGTAATTTTAGTGAATCACCAACAGTGGCTGGAGTTGAAAATGTGAGAAGGAAAATTATGGTTTAAAAAGCTACGGAGACAATTTTAGTGACAGCTTCTGAAATGGTAACTCAGCTTCTGTTCCACTCCTTCTTGCATAACTTAAGCATTTTTATTTTGGAAAAGTTCTATATAATTTAAACTGGAAATGTGAGTAAAATAAAGCCAAATGTAACCATTTTATTTCTTCTATTTGACCTTTTATAGGACTATTATTTTATCATTCTTTCTTTAAAATAGTCTAGTTGAGTTTGAGTTCCTGGTGTGGAATAAGAGAACTCGGTATTCTATAAACATGC